ATATACAATTTGTCAAGAAACAATTTGGAACAACGAGGGGGAAACGATGAGCCATCGATGGGCTCATGCCCCATCGATGCTGCTCAAGAGTCTATACTTAGTATCTTCCCCCCTTGTCTCCCAAATAACGTACTCTTTGTCCCAAACTATGTTTGACAAGTATGGTCTGTGGTTTGGTTGATGGGCTTTTGACGAGGTCTTATCGATTGACCCCTATCTCACTGCCTCAACACGAATCAATTGGGTGTCGTTGAGTAATAAGTTAATTGATTAATTAATGCTTAGGGATGGTTATAATTACTTAGTTTAGGTTTATTCACGTATCGTAAGTCATTAACCTAGTCTAACGCCCCATAATGTCAAAACCCAAAAGCTCTCATCTCTCTTTAGTTTCTCTCACTACTCCACTCATCTCTCTCTAGTTTTTCTCACTACTCCAAAGACACCCATTGAAGAAGAAGATAAAATCTAGGGCTTCAAGAGAAAGACTTTTCTAGACAAAACTCAAAAAATTCTTATGGTATGGACGCTATTCACTGTTGGAACTTCTTTTCCCAAGAGGTTCTTGAAAAATTTATTTTAATGTTATTCAAAAGTCTAGTTTTATCCGATTTCGTGGGCCTTCTTTATGACTTAAATGTTTAGTCTTAATTAAATTATTTGTGATGAATTATACATGTTTATTGGGGGGGATTGATGTATTACTTTATGCTTTTATCTAATCTCTAAAAAGGACCATAAATACTCTTCTTCTCCTAACCCTAACTTGTGAATTGGATTGTATTTTGATTTAGGGAGATGTAATTGAATGTATTCTTGTATATTTTTTTATTATATTATGATGATTATTGGATTGTTGGGTAAATATCATTGAATTGGGGGTGAAGACTTGAATGACTTTTTTGGAGGCCAATGGTAAGTCAGTCAAGGTTATGAGTACTTTTTGGTAATAATGTTGGTCTATTCTTGATAATGTTGTTCAATTGAAGTGTCATATGTTAGTATGATAGGAATGTGATGAATCAATGAACATGTTAGCATTATATGAAACTGATGAACTGTTAGATGATGATAGGTGTATTACTATGAGGGATTTGAGGTGATTCCTCTGTGCATCTTATTTCAATGTTATGATTTAATAATTCTCACATAATATTGGGTTTTGATGAAAGGACATTATCATCCTAAAACCTAGTATATATGAACATGATATATGACATGATAGACTCCTAAGACCTACGATATAAACTAATTTAAAGAAAGACTATAAGATACTACAAATAAGGAAAGTTTAGCTTAGCACCGAGTGAAAATGAGAATGAGAGTTCTCTCTGACAATGACAAAGGTAGGTTCACCAAATTTTTTCTAACTAGGACTATTTAAGAGGTAATAATTTGTCTAGGTAAGGGAATAGGAATTTATCAATACAATGCTCACGTCGACCTTGAGGGGAGTTGTAGGAGGGATTCTTTGTATATATATGATATGTATGATGTTTATTTCATATGTTGTATATTATGTTGGTTTCACTTGATATACATGATGTTGGTCTAGATTGTTATGTACAGTTTCGACTATACTTATTCTTATGTCATATGATAGTAAGACAATATTTATGTTCTCTTTGTTTGTTTGCTTTATTAATGTGGGGTTATGGGGATTCACATACACATTTCTCTAGTTTGCTGGATTGAGATTGTGAGTAAGGTATTGTAGTATATTGATGAAATAGAATCTAAACATGTAATGTTGATTATGGATTTCGTAGGATGTTGCTATTGAACATGTATACGAATATGTCGTATTGTTGTTGTATTATGGACTTATATATGTTCTTGGAATGTGCATTAAGTTACTTAGTATCTGTTAAACACAATGTCCTTTTTAGCATAATTCTAAATTTTTTACTTGGATATGTTCCCAGACATAGTACATGTGGTTTGTACTAACCCATATTTTCTTCAATTTCTACAACAATGTAGGTTCGCCCATCGAGGTGCTAGAAGCTTTGATAGTTCCCAAGTTGCCGAGTCTTCAAGTCCAAGGACTAAACCGATAAATCTTCTTCTTCTTATTTCACTACATATAAAGACATTGATCCATTTATTATCGTTTGAGACTATATCGTATTCTCTATGAGACATATTGTAATGATGTAAGGTCTATGTCCCAAGTCTTGTACTCTTACGTTATATTGTTGTGTGAGACAATGTAGACTATTTTTATATATGAGAAGTAAACATGCACTTCAAATGTAAATTAATAATTTTTTGAGTGTTTATTCTACCTATGAGATGCAATGATGTATGGTAATGGCTTGCCTAAGGCCTCTTATAGGACAAAGACGCTAGTTACGTACAGGGGGTACTCTTTGTTCGTGACACCTAAGTTAGTAATCATGGGGGTTTCCATCTCATAAGGCAACACATATATTGAAATTTGGACTTGCTAAATGTGAGGAAGCCCATGTGGGGAGCCGAACTTACTAAGTGTGAAACCCCATCTCATTTTCATTCCATTTCGACTCTTTAAGAATCTATTCGCTTTAGTACTCATCTTTCGACATCGCATAAATTTACATTATTCTTTAATATACTACTATGTAAATATATTATCATGATAGCTCATTACTGTTCCTAAATAACAATAGTCCTTTCACTTTTTGAAACAGTAGCTTACGAGTAAACCTTTATATTTAAAATTTAATTATAATCATGAGGACTAACTTTAAATCATATAACAATCATACCATATCATATGTAACTACTTCATAGACAATTTAAGGGTATAGGATTAAGGATGACGGACCTTGTCATCAATACAACAATAACACATTAGATATAGTCTCGTTACTATCTAAGTAATTCATCTTTCATATTTGAGTTCAAGGAAGAGGCAACATTCATACCTGCTTTCCCTTCATGAGACTTTATGCTTTAATCACCCAACAATGCATAACAGACACATGATATAAGGTAATTCATGAAGTAATTCCAAAACTAACAACAATGTACACAATTTATATATTCATCATCTTCATCATAATTCCATGTAAAAACCAACAATTATACATCATTATACACCTTAACAATCTTAAGTAATTATAATTCATCATTATTGATTAGTAATTTCATTTTTCAAAGAGGGCCCATGCATACAGAAAAACAATAGATTTTGGGGAATTTTGATAACATCATTGGAGGGTCCTCTTGGTGAAAGGAATCCCAAGAGTTAAAGAAATAATACCTTAGTGAGGATTTAGCCATTAAATTGAGTTGAATCCTTTGAGAACTAATCCTCTTTTTGGAGCTCTAAAGTTCTTCAATGGAAGTTTGGGATAGAGACAAACTAGAGAGAAGGGAGAGTTCCCATATTTTTTTGACTTTTAATTATGTTTTTTGTGTTTTTGATTAGGGAATGGGTGTGAAAGGACCAAAAGCTATATATATTAACCCTCCAAAAATACCCAAAACACCCCTTCTCTAGTTGGACCTTAAATTAAAAGTCCAACTTGACTTTAAATTAAATCCAAAGATTATCAAGAATTGAAAGTTTGTATGTGACGCAAAGTAGAGTCCAATTAATTTTCAAAAATTATTTTTGAGTCAAAATACCTTGTGATAGCTACATGACGCGGAACCGTCATTTTTAAAAATTGGCACCTGGGGTGCGATATGCGGCTACCTTCAAATTCTGCCAATTGGAATTTCTTCTTTATTTTTCATCTCTAAACCCTCCAAACTTTCACGACTTTTTGTTCAAACACTTAGGACTGTAGTTACCCCTTTTTAGATCATAATTCACTAGGGTAGGCATTAACCTAGGTCATAGAATTTCCAGGGTATTTCATCTATGTGAATATGTGACATGGACACAACAAGAGTGACTATCCATGAGCATCAAGTTGAAGAGGGGCAGCTTAGGAATAGAGAATAGTCCAAGAATAAGTGGGCTAAGATATATGTCCGCGCAACAATGAAATAGTGTGAACTTGTATTTTTTTTAACATAAGCAAAAAGGATATGCTTCATCATTTGATAGTGAAACTGAACAGAGGAACAAATGTATGTACAATACTCATGATATTCAGAAAAGTCGATTTAGAATTGTGTAGTCACATGATGTTAAGGAACAAGGGGGTATTTAGACTACTGCATGTTCCATGTCTTGTAGGAGTAACTCACGGGTGTGTCCTGATGGCTCCAAGTGTGGTAAATTTGTCATTTTATAAGTGAATATCCTAAGAACATGCAAAGAAATGATGATGATGATGGAAATAAACCCTAGCATTTTTCAATTTCTTCACAAGATATAGTTACATTTGGAGAAGCTACTTAACGAAGACATAGAAGGAAACCATCGTTATTCTATCACTAGTAACCGAGAGTAAAAATATTCACCAGATATTGTCAGTTGTCTGATCCAAATCTTCAGTTTTGATATTTTTATCGAGAAACATAGTTGTCCCTTTAGTGTTTTTACACCTTTTGAGAATTATATTATAGCATAGGGAGTATCACGATTGTACTAGTTTTGGTCAATTACAAGAGTACCATGGATGACTTAAGTTAGTTAGACATGGTAGAGTTTGATGTCATTCTAGGTATGGACTCGCTTCATGCTTATTATGCATCAACCTATTTCAGCACTTGAGTAATCACGGTCTTGTTTTCTAGTAAATTCGTTATAGAGTTGAAAAGTATTTCAACAATGCCTATGGGTAATACCATTTCGAACATAAAGGTGAGAAAATTAGTTTCTAAGGGATGTGTCTATCTCTTAGTCCGAGTTAATGACTTAAGTGTTGAGATACATCATATTCTGTCAGTTTGATGTAAAGGTCTTAGGGTATACCCTACAAGTTACTTGGCGTATTCGACATCTCGAAGGTCTTATACAATTCCTTACACATCATTCATCGAATATATGATAAATACTGCGAAATTAAAACTTTTCACAACAATAGTCAAACTTTATATTTAATATAGGAAAGAAATGTGTCTTCATAAGCAATCTTAGACTCATTAAATATCATAGGGTCACAACCCTTTACATTTGAAAAAAGAAAGTAAAACAAAAACCATCTCCTTAAACATGTGAGGACATACCAACCTTCTTGATAGAATGTTATTTCCCAAGCTTCAACTTCTAAGAGAATCATCACATGCCACCTACACTTGTAGAGATAGAGAAACATATGTTATTAGCACATTGAATTTACTAAGTATGGTCAACACGCAAAACAAGATAAAATAGACATGTACTTTAGGATATGCTTTTTATGCTCTTTTGATACAAACCTCATAAAAAGTATGACAAACATATTCAAGATAATATTCATATTTAAGAAATATTCAAGTAATGCATAATATACGAGCATAATCATTATGGACAAATTTAAGCATTTAGACTCCCTACCCAACATGACTCTAACACTGACCTAAATAACACACGAAGAGACTCCCTATACACCCTCTTCGAGCCTACTGAAGTAATCCTCAAATCCATTTTACGTAAGAACCTAGGTATTCACCTACCTTTACTTAGTCAACATTATTTACTAAATCCATTTAATAGACAACTTACACATATAGAGGACTTCACATAATGGTCATGCAATAGCTAGGGAACTGATCCAACATTATCCAATGACTACTCCTACCGTGTGTATATAGCATCCCATTACACTCAGTGCTTTTCCTTGTTTCTGATAGAGTGATTCATTCCTAGGGTGTCTTAGAGAAGGTACCATCACTTAGTCCTACCAACTCATAATACTTTTTCAAAGGATAACTCTTATGACTTTCTTAGAGATATTTTATTCTTTTGCATCCAACCTATCCCTAAGTCCATCAATCCACTCAAGAAGGCACCATTATGGTCTTTCACTTCAACGCTTTTGTTAACCTTCCATTGTTCCACTCAAGAAAGCACCATTATGGTCTTTCACTTCAACGCTTCTATTAACCTTCCATCATTCCACTAAAGAAGGCACAATTATGGTCTTTCACATCAAGGCTTCTATTAACCTTCTTTTCATATTCATGGTTTGACATTCTTAATCTTATTTTCATATTCAAGGTTCTACATTAGTCTTTCTTAAAAGGCCACCTACTATAGGTCTACTGATCGTAGACTTTGATTCTTTCATTCACTCACATTTAAAGGGTGCATAAGCCTAACAAATTAGGTGATCGGATTCGAATAACATTCATACACAAAGGAGAAGACACATAATTTTAGAAAATCCAAGATTCCACAATAGATAAGCTTTCATGTATGAAGAAAAGGTATCTAAGTCCACCAATCAAGACACAACATAATCGTACTATTTTTTAGAGGTTGATACTTTCACCTCACACATGCACATACACACGCTAGGAATGATGATACTACAATTCATATAACAATGACGACAAGGCCATGTTAATAACATATATAAAAATTAAAATCTGCCACCATAAGAAACAATACTAATTAATGACAATAAAATCAAAATTCTTAGCTAAAAATCAATCCATATAAATTATCTAACAACATTAAATATATACATGAATACTATAAGGAAAGTTATGAACAATTCTACGATAATCAATACATATTTAAATACTCTAGAACAATCCACACATGAATTAAATAAGATTGAGCCATGATCATGTAACACCCTAAAACCAACTAAGGTGAACTAGAGCATTGTAAATGTTCGAAGTTTTGGGATTTTTGGATATCAAATTTCATCTAGTAAGTTATGGGATTCGTTTCACCTTCGGGATCTCTTTCTCAAAAGGGCTCCGTCAAATTGATTCTAAAATTAGGAAATTCAAGTAGTTTTCTTCCAATGCGAAATAAATCTTCTGAATTGCTTTATTTTTGATTTCTTTTTGTTATTATGAGTATATTTACATTTAATATGGTTACATTATACGAATTCTTAATGCTTTGGTCTAGTTAGTGGGAGATGACCTTTTTCCCTTAACCGTGGTTGTGATCTTAATTTGAATGGTATAGTATTGATACAATTTGTTTTGTTAGTGTTTGAATTTCTATCCAATGTGATTATTATGATAATTATGACTAGATTGTGATATATTGTAATCCAATTATAATAGTTCTTGAGTAATTGACCTTGGTTGTGATGTTGATTATGAACTTGATCAAAGTCTGTAATTGTAGGCTATGAACTAGTGATGAATTGTTGTGAAGTGGTTCAATTGACTTCATTATTATGTATGTTACTATTGTGTTATTATATAATGACATTGATGGTTAGAATTTAATGGTTATTTTATGACTTTGATGATTGCATTGTTAGGGACATTGAGTAAGCTTTATGATCTCTATTATTTACTTCATTATGATTACTTGTGATTAAGTGCTGATAATGTATTGAAGTATACCTTATATTAAGATTCATAGGGTTGGTATGATATTGAATTGAAATGTCTTCATATATGGATTGTGGGTTGTAGGTGTAACGACCCGTTTAGTCGTTTTGAGCAACAGACTTCAATTCTGGAAAAACTTGCAGAAGCGACGGACCCCACGACGGAATGTCATGGGCACGACGGACCATCGAGGGGGGTCTCGTCCCAAAATACTTAGAAAATCTGAAATTGGGTACTGAAAATCAACTCTCTGAACTTTGTGACGGAATGGCAGGACGGACCGTCACAGGTGTGACAGACCGTCACAGACCCTTGGTGGAAATTTGGGTCTCTGAACTCTGCGACGACCTGCAGGACGGACCGTCGCAGTCACGATGGCCCGTCACAGGTTGTGCAAATCCCAGGCAGAGTCGGATTTCTGGTGGAGTTTTAAGGGACGTTTTTGGACTATTCTTTCCTTAATTATAGACTTCGTGGGTTTATATTAATAACTCAAATTCTTGAGGGTTAAAGGAGGTAACCCTAAGTTAATTAGTGGGGTATTATTGCCACCTTTTATTCTTAATTATATACTAATTAGGGTAAAATAAAGAGGGTTGAATAAGAAAAATAGAAAGAACAAAGAGAGACAGAAAAAGAGAGAGAGAAACGATCGAGAAGAAGAGGAAAAACACCAAGCTTTGAGGATTAACTTGCTTGATTTCAATTCTTCAGTGGAGGTAGGTTATGGTTTTCATGCTTTCATAGTAAACTCTTAATAGAGAATGATATGTATTGGTAGTATTGTAAACATGATATGTATTGGTAGTATTGTAAACCCTACTATATGCTTAATTGTATGTTTGCATGAATATGATTATGTGATTGTGATAAGATAAGCATGATCAAAAATATTGAATCCCAAATCTTGAAAAGAAACCTTAATATACATTATTAATGGGGTTGAGGATGCCTTGGTATAGAGAAGACTCGATGATTTACAGAATGATATTAGTGGATCGGAGTGTCACGTTCCGACACATAGATTTAGTGGATCGGAGTGTCATGTACCGACACATAGTATTAGTGGATCGGAGTGTCACGTACCGACACATGTAGGGGATCGGAGTGTCACGTTCCGACACATGTAGGGGATCGGAGTGTCACGTTCCGACACATGTAGGGGATCGGAGTGTCACGTACCGACACATATAGGGGATCGGAGTGTCACGTTCCGACACATAGATTTAGTGGATCAAAGTGTCATGTACCGACACATAGTATTAGTGGATCGGAGTGTCACGTACCGACACATATAGGGGATCGGAGTGTCACGTTCCGACACATGTAGGGGATCGGAGTGTCACGTTCCGACACATAGAATTAGGGGATCGGAGTGTCACGTACCGACACATAGTGGTAGGGGATCGGAGTGTCACATACCGACACAAGAGGAGGAAAGATAATGAATCTTGAAAGATGTTAATATACTCAATCTAACGAACATGATTCCCAAATGAGTATGGTATTGGGGCTTGAGTCCTCATGTGTGAATTTGATGGTACTTATTGATGATTATAGTACTTGTTGTTGTTACATGTTGAGTTTTATAGTTGATTTATGATAATACTTGATATATACTGTTCCCTATTTTGAGTTGGCCGATGATATCTACTCAGTACCCGTGTTTTGTACTGACCCCTATGGTTGGTAGTTTAAAGGATCACTTAGGTGTGGTTGAAAGGGGTGTATGGGGGTTTCTTCATGTCTTATCTTAGTGATTCATAAGATAACATGGTTAGGGAAACCACAAAGGAAATGAGTTTATAGTTTTCTATGCATGAATGAGTTCACTGCAACATTTTAAAGGGATTCACTATAATGTTTTAGGGACATACTGTTCATTGATTTTTTGTGCTAAAATTATGGAAATGTTTCAGTATGTGATAAATGATGATCTATATACTATTTCAATTGTATATACATGAAGGATTTATTTATATGGCATGAAATATCTATTTATACTAAATTGTCCCTTTTCACATGTTTTTGCATATGCCATTCTTAGAACATTCTTTGTACTAACCCCATACTTTTCTTTACTAAATAAGTATAGGTTGAAGGAATGTTGAAGGCTAGAAGGCAACCTTGAAGGAAAGTTGAAGGCTAGAAGGAAATATTTGGGATCGACTTTCTCAATGCTAAGTATGTCCTCATACATTCGAGGTCATAGTTCCATTTCTAAGTTTCTATTATTAAGACTCATTTTGTATTTTCTTTCAATGTAAACGGTCGTATCCCTATGATATTTAATTTGTGTCTTTAAGATGATTTGTGAAGACGAAACTACTCTTTATTATTTATGAAAGATATTTTATTATTATTATAGATGTCATGAAAAATTTATAATTCCGCATTACTTTTCATGTCTTATGCGGTGAATGATAGCAAGTAGGCTAGTATAATATACCCTAAGGGTCAGGTATGCAACTGTACGACCTAAGAGTTACAATATATTCTGGGGGTACTTTTTGGTCGTGACAAACTTGGCATCACAGAATAAGTTTATGGGAAATAGTTTAGGGTCTAAAGTCTCATAAGCCATGTCTAGTCGAGTCTTGATCATCGGCGTGACTTGCGACACAACCTTGAATAAGAGGCTATATGATGATAGATGTTGCATTTTCTTCACTATTTTAGCGTTGTGCCTTAGAGTTGAATTCTATAAGATGTCTTTTCTAAACCTCTTCTCTTTCTGTTTATCGGACATGAATACAAGGAGATCAACCATTAGAAGGAAGGAAGGA